GTCATTCGGGGTAACTACACATCATGTTTGTTTATACCATTTATTCAGCATTACCCGCCATATTAAATGTCCTTTAGGGTAACTACACATCATGTTTGTTTATACCATTTATTCAGTGGTACCCGCCATATTAAATGTCCTTCAGGGTAACTACACATGTTTGTTTATACCATTTGTTCAGCGGTACCCGCCATATTAAACGTCCTTCAGGGTAACTACACATCATGTTTGTTTATACCATTTGTTCAGCATTACCCGCCATATTAAACGTCATTAAGGGTAACCACACATCATGTTTGTTTATACCATTTGTTCAGCGGTACCCGCCATATTAAATGTCCTTCAGGGTAACTACACATCATGTTTGTTTATACCATTTATTCAGCAGTACCCGCCATATTTAATGTCCTTCGGGGTAACTACACATCATGTTTGTTCATACTTTTTGTTCAGCAGTACCCGCCATATTAAATGTCCTTCAGGGTAACCACACATCATGTTTGTTTATACCATTTGTTCAGCAGTACCCGCCATATTAAATGTCCTTCAGAGTAAACGGATGTAATGATAAAATACGGATTGTTTTTAAGGAATATGCTTTTATCAACAGGAACATTGTAAGTATTTTAACAGAAACATTTTATTTATAAAGCTTAATAGTTTTAAGAATTATTCTTTAAATCTTTTGGTTTGTTTTTTCTCAATATGCTATTATATTCATTTGTGATAATGACTAATTCCATAATCTTTGGAACAAGACTATATGTTACTTTTGTGGGTTTTTTTCTGTATTAACAGTGTGTACACATTGGGCTTTGCACAAGATCGTGTCTTTCTTGACATAGTATTGTTGTCTCACATTTACTCGGAACACAGATGCCGATATCACAGAGCTTTGCACAAGATCGTGTCTTCCTTGACATAGTATTGTTGTCTAAAATCTACTCGGAACACAGTTGCCAATATCACAGAGCTTTGCACAAGATCGTGTCTTCCTTGACATAGTATTGTTGTCTAAAACCTACTCGGAACACAGTTGTCGATATCACAGAGTAGGATAGGATTATTTCTTATCGTCCTTCCCTTCGCCTTTATCACATTGATCAGTCGCTACGTAATTTTCGAATAGACGTGAGCATCCAACTGATCAAGGACGTCACGATGTGTGAGGGAACATAATCAAGCTTACTTTCGTCAAGCGTAAAACTGTCCAAGGGTGGATGAAGAGACCAAAACATGCAGGATACAAATATTATCGGGTTTTCTACGTAAAGATACAATAAAACATCAACTGCTCGACACAATGCGGAGCTTTTTTGTTCGTTCGTTGCACTCACTCGCCAAAAAAGTTCATATTGTGGCTTGCGGCTGATATTTTACGATATCAATGTGCAGAAAACCCGATAACCTAAACATATCAGCTGGTGAAGCAGTTTAAACTTGCTATACATGCGAGCATTTTTCATTCTGTATTGTTAATATTAGTGTACTTTACTGCTTTTTTGTTTTATTTATCATACTGCTCTTATCGAGTTAAGTGCTTATCGAGTTAAGTGCTTATTTTGTATTTATTTGTATTGTCTCTTCATAAATTAGCATTTAAATTATTATTAATCTAGAAAAATAATGAAATGCTGCCTTCCTTTACTCCATTTATTCAGATACTATTAATTTGATGAAAAGAAAAGAAGCGACCTATATACATGCAAAACTCAGAAACGTGTCCATCCCCCCAAACGTGTCCATATGACGTCGCTGAATTAAAAACATGTCTAGCTGCAAAAGGGCTCCGAAACGTGCCATTTTTATGAGCGCTCAATCTTGTCCATATTTTCAAATGCCCATTTAATTAATTTAATTTTTGACCATCAAGTAACTATTACATATCCACCAATATTAAAATTTATTATTAAATTTTGGTTATTGTTCTTCTGTTGACGTATATTCCTTTTAATTTACTCATTCATCTATTGTCCCACCTCCAAGCGTGAAAAGAGAATAGAAACATGGTTTATTAGGTCTTCTTCCAACCGACAGTTAAATCCTTGCCAAAGTTGTGCGTCCATTTGGCTGTGTGGGATGTAAAAGTACGCAGCCATATCCGAAACCTTGTGTAGGAAGAGATATATCTACCTAATGTATTTATTGTTAATATGTTGTCGTCCTGAATATGAATTAAATATTTGTAACTGGCCTTTAAGCAATCAACAGTAAAGAGTCAATTTATATGTTGCAAATCAAGCATGCAATTATTCTAATTTGAATATTAACAACCGACGTTGAACAAACTAAATCTAACAAATTTAGGATTTTCTTCTTTAAATTCTGTTCCTTTTTAATTTCCATTAATTGTGCCGGAATACTTCATTCAGCATTTTTGTCTTTTGAATACGGCTTTACAACTGTTTAATCAATTATAGGATTTAATCGAAACCCGACATATTTTCGTGTCCCCGAGAATTGAATTGCCGTAGAAATTATTAACAATAGCGCTAAAATTTCTGAAACGTTCAGGCGTCTTAAAGTGGACACGTTTTGGCGAATAACAATTATCGGACACGTTTGGGGATGTGAAATTTGACACGTATGGGCGATTTGGGGGTTTAAGGACACGTTTGGGCGAACTAGACACGTTTGGGGGAATCGGACACGTTTGGGAAGATGGACACGTTTGGGAGTGTTACATACATACACATATAAACTACAAAATACAGAACCCAGATCTTAGCATTCTGTATCTAAATCGAAGTAGAAAATACGTTCTTAACTTTTTATACTTAAAACAAAAATCTATCTGTATTTCCATATGAATGGTGAAGACATAACTGATGTAGTTTTGGCTTTTTGTAAACATTTGTATTGAAGGACATCCTTTACAAAATTAATTTTTTAATTTGTATCTGAAAAAATAGCTTCACTTTCAATAGGGTTTTAGTTGTGGATATTTGGTAAATAGTGGTGTTCTTTCTGCTAAGTTTTTATTTATGCCAGAATTCCAAATTGCAGCTGTTTTTAAATCTTTGAGCACCTACATTTTTATAACATATTATGAAATACGAGATAATGTTGTTGGAATCTCAAATTACACACATAAAAATATTATTTAAAAAAATATTTCAAAGATCCTATCGGTTGAATTAAAACCATGTGAGAAAATAGCCTGACGTCTTTTTGATTTCTGATGTTTATTGTGACCAAACTTGTCATTAATCCAAATCCGAGTTCACAACATAAAAAAAGAGTTTCCTGCTTTTATCATCAGATATTTAAGTGGGCTTCAGCAAATAATAAAACGTTGTCATTCGTTTATAAAATGAACACTCCAGGGACTACTAGTTTATTGTATCGATATGATGTAATCAAATCTACACTGGCTGTTGTACAATATCAATGCCAGAAGATGATTTGATTTCATACAATATGTTTGCTACCCCCATCTTCTACAAACGTTAATTTTTCTCATCTCCTTTCGTTATTTTTTCCTTTAGAATACCCATTTAAAACCAGCCTTTTTTCTCGACTTCCGCCCTCTCATCTCTTGGTTAACCATAAAACATGTAATTTTTATTTGCAAATCATTGATCAATAGTTTCTAAATGCCAACACTATCTATTATAAAATTGGAAAAAGAAAAGTTTTAGTTGTCATTTAAACAAATTGAAAAAAAATGCGAGTTTGTAGTCTTATCGAATTGTCTCCGATTTATTGCGCTTCATCAAATAACTTCGTTTCAGTGATACATTTATCCAATCTCATTCTGAACGATCGGCTTGATACGGTTTGCTTGATGGCATTGAGCTTTGGAAGTAATTAGATAATGAGAATTTAATCAACAGCTTCTTCTCTATCACAATTTTCAAACAATTGAAATTATGATGGTAACTCGGAACGTTTCTCGATTTCGATTTTTTTAACTAAGCATGTTTAATTGACAAATTCTTGACAGTCAACTCCCATATTAACAAATGTGTGAAATATTTTAACGGTGAACTCCAATGCAGATAAGTGTGCACAAGATCTAAACAGTCAACTCAAATGTAGGATGTGTAATAAACTTATCTTGAAAGTCACTAAAGTGTAAAAAGGTTTGACTGAGGTAGATAATTATGATCATCCCTTGATCTTCCTCTGACCGGCAGTAAACCCTTGCCAAAGTGGAGCGTTCGTATCATCCCTTGATCTTCCTCTGACCGGCAGTAAAGCCTTGCCAAAGTGGAGCGTTCGTTTGATTGTGCAGGATGTATAAATTCGCTTCCATAATTCGAAATTTATAGACCTTCATTCCTGTCGACCCCTATTGCAGGTCCTATCTATTCTTTTAATTCGTCCTGAACATGCATGAAATATTTGCCACTGGACGTAAGGCAAATCTATCACTAAAGAGTAGTTCTTAAATAAAAGATAATAAAAATCTATAATGTCTTATTACTTTCCATATTGTTCATAAGTGTATAGAGACAACATAATGAAAAAGAAAATGTATGGTGTATCAATTAATGACACATACATGTACATGAAATAAAAAACATTCAAACAAAGGAGCCGTGCTTTTATTTCTGTTATTCATCTCAAAGTAACAGTAAGGTCTTCAACATGGAGCAAAACCTCTGACATTATTGCAAGTTTAAGACGGCCCGTATCATACAAAACGAGAGGGCGAACATACAAAAACTCTGACATTATTGCAAGATTATTGCAAGATTAAGACGGCCCGTATCATACAAAACGAAAGAGAGCGAAAATACAAACAGGTCTACAAAGCACTACATAGAAAACTAAAGCAACACGAACCCCACCAAAATCTAGGGTGATCTCGAGTGCTGCGGAAGGGTAGTGGCAGAGTCTGCTCCACTAGTCGAGTCAGAAACGAATTGAGCAAAAAAAAAAATACTGTAAACCTGTTATTTGTTCGGTCGTTGGCTAAAGGCAGGATCAAAATTTTTGTTTCATTATAAGAGATCAACTTTCATCGTTAAAAAAGTCAGATTTAAAAAACTTACCTGGCTTCTACCGAGAATATAAGAGTCTTCCGATGCTTTATTGGACGTCATATTTCTATTTGAAACTCTCTAATCACTATGACATTATACGCCTTGCATTTAAGTTATTCCAATCTTGTTTCATTCACCGACTCCAATAAGCGTTTAACGGATATTATCATTAATTCTGGCTGAAGCAAAAGATTTTCCTGATTTTGAAAGTGCAGACGATACGATCAATTCCCGATTTCACAAGACTGTCAACTGCTCTGCTATAATCCAAACTCTATCCAACGATTACAACACAAGTCTGATAATAAGTGTCCTTGCTGAAAGAACAGAAATATTGATTGGAATAATTATTTATAACAGTGTGACAAAAACTTTTGTCCACATCCGGACGGGAAAGGGTAGGTGGATAACTACCACTAGAAGATGTCAATAGTAATTATTGGTAGAAAAAATCGGTAGGATTGTTTAATCTATCGGAAAACCATTAATCGCTCTACTATGTATCAATATCAGATTTTAAATAACATTTATCATATTGCATCCTAATTGTTTTCAATTTAGCGAATCTTCAATTTTAAATTATACTAAGCGTACGTGAATCATCATCATAAAAATCGTCATGCGTTTGATTGTGTCTATATTTTCTTACTGGAATAGCAGATAGCATTCTTAATTATTTGTTTTCATTATTTTTGCAGTGGCAGTTAATATAATTCATTTTGACTTGAAAATGCACAGTATAAATAGCATTAGTTTTAATCTAAAAAAAAAATATTATGCAGTATGATGTAGTTGGATAATTTGCTTAATCTATACACATTTGTATAATGAAATGAGAATTTTTACTAAATCACAAGAATCGCTTGCGTTATCTGTTTCGATGCTTGGTATTGTCGTTGCATGTCGAGTAATATCCTGAAAATAGCTATAATACTCTACAAATACTTTTATATTTTTACATCTTTCAACAGTTTACGCACACAAACATTCATGCAATCCCTTTTTTATTCCAAATTATATGAGCACTATTCAGTCACGGGCATGAAATTTCTCAACAATTGATCGTAGTCCATAAACTTTAAGGGTGATCCAGAATTAGATATATAATTTCTCAACAGTTGATCGTAGTCCATAAACTTTAAGACTGATCCAGAATTGGATATATGACTTACTATTCACGCTCTACTGGTACCAATTAAACAAGATATAAACATACAACTCAAAAACGAAAACCCCCTTTTCTGAATGATACTTGATAGATTTTCAAACGAAACGCCTTGAAATGTACAAGGGGTCTATTTATTCACACATCTTTGAAACAAATATCTATGTCTATCAACTTTATTTAATATACTCTTTGTTAATATGTTAAGAAATGAGTTATTATTTTAGTTTTATAGTTTTTACACATGAAGGTTATGCTATACTTTTTAAGCAATTTTTTAAGTTCCACTTCATAAAAAAAAATCATGTTCCAAGTTCCGTAAATCCTTTTCACCGTCATTTGACAGCTCATTTGAAGAAATGTCAGTTCAAAAATTGGGCTGAACGTACCCCCCCCCCCCCTCCTTTTTTAAAAAGTATGTTGAAATTCTTAGATCCGCCTCGGCCGATTTTAAACACTAATTAATAGAGAAAAGTAAATAGAAGGTAGAATGGTTAGAATGTAACCTAATTTTCTATACGTCAATCTTCAGCGTAGAGAGCAGGAGAGAGTCGACTGCCAAAAACTAAGCCCATTTATCAGTTAATTACGGGGAAATATAAACACATCTATTTTTTTTTTACTAGATTATATTTTTTAATCTTGAAGAAACTTCTGTCCAAATTTTGTAAAATTTCATGAAGATATGACAAAGTTATTGATGTCTAAAAAAAGCTTTAAAGTTTAGACTGTATCTGACTGCCAAAACAAATTTATCCACAAAATACGAAAAAATTATAAAATATATATTTTCAAAACTTTTTGTTCCAGATACTGTCTTTTGATCACAAAAAACTGCTGTCAAAGTTTCTATAAACCATTGATAAGGTCATAATTATAAATTAACTGTTTACAAAACTTTGAATTTTTGTCGAGCCTGCGACTTTTGTCGCAAAAGTGAGACATAGCGATCCTACATTCCGTCGTCGGCGTCGTCGTCGTTGTTGTCGTCGGCGGCGTCCACAAATATTCACCCTGTGGTTAAAGTTTTTTAAATTTTAATAACTTTCTTAAACTATCCTGTAATTCTACCAAACTTGGACAGAAGTTTGTTTATGATCACAAGATAGTATCCAGAAGTAAATTTTGTAAAATAAAAATACTGTTTTTCCGTATTTTACTTATATAAATGGACTTAGTTTTTCTGCCAGTTAACATTACATTCACTCTGTGGTTAAAGTTGTTTAAAATTTTAATAACTTTCTTAAACTATCCTGGATTTGTACCAAACTTGGACAGAAGCTTGTTTATGATCAAAAGCTAGTATCTAGAAGGAAATTTTGTTAACATTTATTTCCTGTTTTTCCGTATATTACTTATAAATGGACTTAGTTTTTCTTCCAGTTAACATTACATACAGTCTGTGGTTAAAGTTTTTAAAATTTTAATAACTTTCTTAAACTATCCTGAATTTCTACCAAACTTGGACAGAAGCTTTTTTTATGATCATAAGATAGTATCCATAAGTAACTTTTGTAAAAGAAAAAATCCTGTTTTTCCGTATTTTACTTATAAATGGACTTAGTTTTTCTGCCAGTTAACATTACATTCACTCTGTGGTTAAAGTTGTTTAAAATTTTAATAACTTTCTTTAACTATCCTGGATTTATACCAAACTTAGACAGAAGCTTGTTTATGATCAAAAGCTAGTATCTAGAAGGAAATTTAAAAAAAACAAATTTCCTGTTCTTCCGCATATTACTTATAAATGGACGTAGTTTTTCTTCCAGTTAACATTACATACAGTCTGCAGTTAAAGTTTTTAAAACATTTATTAGATTCATAAACCATCCTGGATTTTTACCAAACTTGGATAAAAGCTTCTTACAATCAAAAGATAGTTTCTAGAGTAAAATTTTTAATAATTTTTTCCCCACTTTTGTTGAGCCTGCAACTAACAGCAAAAGTAGGCGAGACACTGGGTTCCGCGGAACCCTTACAAATTTTTTTAATACTAAGGCTTTTCTACCTCAAGAATAGAATACCTTAGCTGTATTTGGAAAAACTTTTAGTAACTTTTGGTCCTCAATGCTCTTCAACTTCGTACTTTTTTGGCCTTTTTAACTTTTTTTTTATTCGAGCGTCACTGATGAGTCTTTTGTAGACGAAACGCGCGTCTGGCTCAAATACAAAATTTCAATCCTGGTATCTATGATGAGTTTATTTCCATGAAGGTTTCACAAAGTTATTTGTGCTTACAAACACTTTTACAACAAACTGATCCTAAATATTGATGCCGCCGACGCCGATGATATAATGTATGATTGCTATGTTTCTACAAAAGTTATGCTTTAATTTTTTTATTTCCGTAAAATCTTTTGACAGTCACCCCATTCACAAAATGTTAGTGTAAAAATTTCGGGATGATCATGCAACCCCCTGTTGAAAGTTCAGTTGAAAAAAAAAGATTGCTTCTGCTCATGTTGAATACATTGTAATGAAGAAAATTAGTAAAATGTTCTTGTCTGAAAGTACTAGACAATTTTCAACAATTTAGATATTTCTTCACATCCACTTATACATCTATAGATTATTCTGACTTTTTGTCAAAATAATACCATGGCTGTAGTTTTGCTCCCCACCTTTTTCCTAATCCTATTAGATTAAAGATGAAAATGATAGCGGACACTGACGAACTGCTATAAACTATGAGACTATAGAGTTTTTTTTTTTGCATGTCACTTTCAGAAGCCCCCCCCCCCTTTTTGTCTACTTCTACGCCACTAAATACTTGTTTTTTTCTTTATTATAAAGGTCCCTCCATGTATTATTTCTGTCATGTTACATTCAAATTTCAGTGAAAATGTTGTGAATGTAACTTGTCTTATGGGCAAGGTGAGCTAAAATATTAGTTTTCTGAATAACATATTAAATAAAAACTGTCGTGGGAATTAATCTTTGAAAAACGAATTGGAAATACTTCTAAATCTATTGGAAATACTTATAAATCGATTGCAATGAATAATAAATGAAACAAGAATCTTTCAGCAATAGTAATAACACAGAATTCTGCAGCTTTCAATAATATGAATTGTAAATTAATAGTAATAGTCCAATGCAATTAGAGTAATCAATGTGGGAAAAGATGTTGAGAATATTTAGCAGGATTTTTTTTTATTATATAATAGAATTTACATATAGATATGTTTCTTTTTCAATGTTAGAATTATGACAAGGTTTCCGAGTACAAAATTTTATATGTGAAAAACCCAAAAGGGGAATAGAACCAAGCATGGTTTACTTTTTATGTCGCAACGATATTTATTTATAAATAAACTGTTATCACAGAGATATGTCTCGCCTTTTTGTAATTTGTAAGTCGATGAACTATGACTGAAGGTACATGGCTAAACAATCTCCATGGAATGAGATGTGCCAATGCTAATACAACTGCATACCAAATACCATTGACTTATCCATGGAAACGATACTTGCAAATGCCAATACATTTGCATACCAAATATCTTTGACTTAACATTAGCAGTTCATCTTAAACTGATCTAATCACAAACTAATACATGTAGATAAGCAAAAGTTTCAAAGTCAATAAATAGACCATGACTGAGGGGGCAGGGTCAAATATTCTCAACGGAAATGAGATGTGCTAATGCTTATACAACTGAACACCAATTAACATTGGCCTACCACAAATGGTTCCCCTTGAACTGACCTAATCACAAACTAATACATGTTAACTTAGCAAAATTTTCAAAGTCTATAGACCATGACTAGGGGAGCGGAGCCAAATAATCTCCATGGAAATGAGATATGCCAATGCTTATACAACTGCATACCAAATATCATTGACCTACCACTAGTGGTTCCCCATAAATTGACCTAATCACAAACTAATACATGTAAACTATGAAAAGTTTCAAAGTCAATAGACTTTGACTGAGGGGGCGGGGCCAAATAATCTCCATGGTAATGAGATGTACCAGTGGTTCACCATGAACTAGACCTAATCACAAACTAATACATTATTGACGCCGTCGCCGTCGCCGCCGACTCCGACGCCGGAAACAGCATACCTATGTCTCGCTTTTTGTCTCCGTCAAGGCGAGACAATAAAACTATTAAGCAATTTTTCTCATACATCTAAGTAGTTTTGCG